TGTGTCATTAGGGAGCTCAAGGGGAAACTGGTTATCCTCTATTTGCCAGCTTGGGCAGCAAGCTTCCACTTCTTCTGAGGTTTGATTTTCCTGCCTCTGATTCAGCTCTGCCTGCGATTCACTCTGCTAGCAAAGGCTTTCACCTTGCCGTTTGCTTGGCCCTGGCTTTGCCCTTGAGCAGTGGCAGGAGCTGAGCCTTTGGCTGGCAGCACGGTTTCTGCTGGAACAAAGTTGCGCTGGGAGGTTTCCTCTGGGCTTGTGCCTGTTTTTCTACCTGTCCTCTGATAATATGGGCTGAGCTTATCAGCCACCTTCAGCCCAACCCGACCGAAGGTGGTGATGGGCAAGGTAAGAAGTGCCCATATGGGAAGGGAGCAGGGCGTCAGGAAGAAGATGGTGTTCGTGCCCCACAAGGATCCCCAGTGAACTTGGAGGCGCAAACCCTTGGGGACTGCGGTGGTGCTGGCTTTGCTGCTCACGCAGCTGCTTCTGGCTGTTCCCGTGTTGCTGAGCTCAGCCCTGATGCCATGCGTTTACCTTGAATCTCAGCACGTGCCCACAGTGTTTGCTCTGTGCCCTTGGGAACGCTGCTTCGAAACAGGAGGTGAGCGATCAGGACCCACGTCCACCTGCCCACGCCCCAGGGCCAGACCGCTCGGGTGCAGCACTCCACTCCCTGCACCCAGGGGTACGCGTCTCCTACCGCAAGCAGGAGGTCCCTCGCCTGCAGCAGCACAGCTCTCCCCTCTCCTGCTCTGGCCAGTGCAGCCCCGGGCAGTCGGCACATCCTGGAGGCATCGGCAAAGATCCCCGGCACCTCTGCAAACCAGCAGGCCAGGAGGAGCTGGCTCTTTGCAGCGGCCTTTGCTGTCACAAACCTTCCCTTACAGCCCTTTCATCTGTTGTTTTTGTCTTTTGCACAGATGCAGTACCCAGAGATTAGGCTGCAGATTAAGGTTTTACTGAATCCTGAAATGGGTTCCAATTCCCGGTCCCAGCGGGACCAACGTGCAGCCAAATCTCCTCTGTGAGCTTGCTGGGCTGGAGCCGGGGAGAGGCATCTCCCACCGTGTGCTCCCACCTGTGTGAAAGATGGAGCCCTGATA